AATCGAAATAATTTTAATTTTCTATTGTGCATGTATAAGTAGATTTCCAACATTCCCAAGAGCTAAAGTTAAAATCCAATAACTGAAAAGCCTTGTTAGTTTCTGATGTATAATCAAATGTTACTGGACTGATGAACAGTATCAATGAATCTATTTCCTTGAACAATACTAGTAGCAAGTCATAGAATTACAGATTCACACAGAGCAATTCACAGAGGCACGGAGCAATAAATTGAAACATTAAAACAGAGCAATTCACATAAACAAGAAGCACAATGATTTTCTTCTGGGCTTTTTCAATAGTTTCCTAACTTTTTTAAGTTCAATGTATGTTAAAAATAAAAAATTTTAACATAACAATAAACAAATCAAAATAACATATCAAAAGAAATGAGATGGCATCAAGGGCTTCACCTTCTTCTTCTACTATGCTTAGGGAACGAAAATGAAAAGGCATGGTAAGAGATTCCGAGATTGGAGGAAGGCGGCGGCGGGTGAGAGTTCCTGAGAGTTTGAGAAGACATTGAGAAGTCAAATGACGGAGATTGAGGAGTCCGTCGGTATTTTGCGAGTGATTGAGAAGAAGTTCATGCACGAAGCAGCGGAAGGAATGGATATGGTGAGACGTGAAAGGTATTGCCTTGGATTGAATTTGGGTTTCTAAGTGAGAAGAGTTCACAAATCAGGCATTAACTATGCATAATTCAAAATTCAGGTTACAAACTTCATTCATGCAAAAATCAGGTTTTCACTGATTAATTAAAAATAATTATTAAATAATGATAATAAAGTCACAATTTTAGTATTAATGGTCACAGGTTCACAATTATAGATCACAAATTTATTTACCGATCACATATCACCAAATTAATTGGTCACAAATTTTTTCGAGATCACAAATCAAAATTTTGATAGATCACGAATAAAAAAATTATAGGTCACAGGTCACATATTTTCAAATTTGACGATCATGAATAACTTTTTTAGTCACAAAATGATTGAATTTCAATGTCACGGATTACTAGTTCGTCATAGGTGGACAAAATAGCTGGTCACAGACAACATACACCGATTCCGATCCACCACAACCTTGGTCACAGATACTATCCCGACCACAACAACCACCAACACCACCATCACTAAGTCACGTTGGTTACCTCCGCCAACCAACATCACAACCACCACAGTCGTCACCACAAAACCTCCACCACAAAAACACCATCACCATCACCACCGCCACACAAAACACCGTCCAAACCACACCCAAACCGCCAAATTCACCACCAAAGCCCCCACCACAAAAACCGCCATCACCAATTCACCACCAGGTCCACCACCACACAAAACACCATCCAATCCACCACCATCTTCTTTGCTGTCAATGTGTTCAAGGCACTATAGTCTTCAGATCCACACAATTGCACAAGCAAAAGTAGTCACACAGGCAGAAGAAGCAAAATGGGTCAGATCCAGCTGCAACAACACTCGTCCTTGTTGTCGACCACGGCGACAACATTGTCGCTCACGGTTACAGAGGCTTCATCGTCGCACGGCACCTGCGGTGGTCTCCGATGAGGAGAGATAGAGAGAGCAAACACTCGTCCTCGGCCACGATGGCGACACCGTCACTCACGGAGTGTTGCAGCTGCATCATCGTCTTCATCAAGCGGCGAGGTTGCGGTGGTCGCCGATGATGAGCTACATGAGAGACAAATCGGCAGTTGAGAGATGTGAGAGAAAAATAAAATTAGGGTTTGTATTTGTAATTGAATTGGGGTTTGGAATTTTTATATCAAACATGATTTATGAATTATGATACTTTCACCCTAATATTTGAACTCCAATCTTTAAGTACCTGGAATTATGTAATTTTCCCTTTCTAAATTCTTGGCTCGGCTGGGTTTATGCTTTATAAAAAGTAGTGGCTATTTGGATTGGGCCCAAAAGTTTAGTGCAGGCTTGTGCTGCGTTGAACATGAATGGGCTGTGTCCCTAGCTACAAGGGTGTAAAAGTCATTCATAAATACTTCTATATTTACAATACTTTCTCTTGAATGACTACTTACACAATAATTATCTTATTGAAACGTTGGTTGGTAAAACTCTAATGGGACAAAAATACCAACAAATGAAAAAAAAAAAAAAGATTAGAAATAATCTGGAATAATAAAATATTGTCTCATTAAAACCTTGTAAAATAAATCTAGTGGGACATAAAACTTGATCGAAGAAAAAAGAGTTCAACTACTCTCCCTGATTTCAATTCTTGTATCAATTGTCCATGTCTTGTATGTCAATGTCTTCAATATTGAGGTCTTGTACGTCAATATCTCCAAAAAAATCCAGAAGGGACAAAATTTGAAGACTGCAATAACATGATGGTTCGAAAAATAACTTTTCCTAATCTCTTCGGGAATCTAATACATATCAAAATATGATTTTGATGGTAAATGTCTTTGAGGCATTCATTATCGAAATAATATACCTTGTTAAAATCTTATTAGAAAAAATTTTGTGTGAAAAATTCTAATAAAGGAAAAATCGTACAGTCTTCTTTTGAATATGCTGTAAAAGTTATCTCAATAAAAATCTTGTTAAGAAAATAAAATGGGACAAAACCTTGGTCAAGGGAAAAACATTGCATCACGTATTTACTTTTCCTCACAATAATATCACTTGAATTATACTTCAGGGATATTAAGTCCTTCAAGGATAACATTAATAGTCATGCCAGATGAGTTGACTATCACGTATTTCAAATTTCATGCATTGTCAAAATAACAAGATATGTACTCGTAATTTTATCAACCATGATCTTTGTGAAATTCACTATATTGAGAGTCATGCATTACAAATTTCGATTTCATTTTTCTCATTTTCTTTTCGTATAAATATATATATTTTCATTCGGGGATAAACACGAATTCAAAATGTATATTCTTCGAAGCATATGTTACTTCGAGAGCACATTACATTTACTATCGCTTTTTCAAAAGTAATATATCGATATTTTTCTGAAACATTGAAATCATAGTATCAAGCTCTTCAGAAACAATAACATATTATTATGTAAAATAATAAATTGTATAAGAATTTACTCTTCACGATTAAAAATATAATTTTTAATTAAGCTCTTCAGGAGCTAGTAAAATATTATCAATAAATTATTATTTATAGGACGAATTTAAATAAAATGAAAAATTAGTTAGGAAAGCAATTGTAAGTTTTGTCAAAGTTAGGGCTACATATACAATTTATCTTTTAAAAAAGTGTAGTTCGCGCTCAAAACTAAGCCCTTGTTTGAGCCTTATTTTTCAAAGGAATGAATTGTGTAATAGTGATTTATTGGAGAATGTGTGGTTAAAAAGTGAAGAAAAAATTTTGGATTTATGTATAGATTATTTTATTAGGAGAATATGTGGTTGAAAATGAATTTAGAAAAAATGAATTTTTGAATAATGGGGCTTAAATGGGGGCTAAACGTCATTTTGGACAGAATTTATACAAAAGGACTAGTTGGGCCAAAACAATTATGCTATATAGACATAATGACTGACATAATACTTGACATAATGTCATGTGCCTATCTATCATTGGATTGTTTGAAATACAATCAATTTTTTCAACTAATCATATCTTGTCAACATTTACGGGGGTGTCCCCATTTTAGATTTTAATAGATTTTTTAATATTTATAAATTCTTATGGATTGTGTGAAATTTGATAGAATTTAATAGATTTCATAAGATTTGAATGGATTTCTATTTTGTAGATTTTCATGGATTTTATAGATTCTGGGTAAAATTTATAAATATGCTTAACATAAGCCACAAATTTTTACTTCTTCTTTAACAACTCATTCTTACACATATTCACGTTAATAAATCACAGAAAATGATTGAATCCTTGTTCAATTGTTTGTTAAACGTTGAATATTATAACAGAGTTTCAATAAAAAATACGCCCAATATTCAACAAAATGCGAGAGTAATAATCAAAGTCGCAATCAATATGAATTAGTTCAAAAGGCCACAACCTTGTGAGATACAAACACACAAATATACACATACATGACCACAAAGCAATTAATTTCATACCCCCGGAATTTTCATTGACCATGCAGACACAAAAGAAAAAATTATGGGATACCATCCTCACATGTCTTGGCTAGAATTCGCAGGTATATATAGAAAACACACAACTCTTCCCAAGAAAAAGGAATAGGGTACAGAACTTGAAAGACGAAGTTGTTCCAATATGCATATTAAAAATCGTAAATTACCATGATAACTTCCAGCACATCTATAAAATAGTAAACAATATATAGCTTTGATAAAAAAAATAAGTTCAATAAAAAATCACACCCAATATTCAACAAAAAATAGTAATCTTTCATAAATTATCATCAATTGAAAAGTTCTCATACACGATTTTTTCACAGTAGAGAAATGTGAGATAGAAAGAAAAAGAAAATCTTGTTGAAAATGGAGGGGGGATAGAGAGAGAGGGGGTAGCAAATATGGAGAGAGGTGAGAAATGTTGTGAAATTTTTATGTTTGGGTTAAAATTGTTATTGATTCTTTGTACTTATATTTTTACCTTGAAATCCTTCAAAATCCTTCAAAATCTATGTACTTAATGAAATCTTTTAAAATCAACTAGTTATTGAGGACATCTAAATTTCAAAACTACCTATTAAGATCTATGTTGAGGACACCTAAATTTATAAGTATTTTTAAAAATCTAGATTGGAGACACCTATATTTTAATGAATTATATTTAAATCTGAATTGAGGATACTTCAATTTATATGGAGTTTTAAAATCCATCAAACTCTAGATTGAGGACACCCCCCTTATTATGTCAACTATTATATCACATATTTTCTGGCAAAGTAGCATTATTCGGGCCAAAAATGCAAATATTTTAGCTCATTATTGCAATGGTTTAAAGGTTTGAAACCAAACTATCAAGATGGGTAAAGGGTTGGGACCAATTACGCCAATTTTCCTAAGGAAAACAAGGATTTGTCCACCTGCGCCCAGCGTAGGAACTGGGCCATACTCCAATATCCTCCGGCGCCGTAAACACTAGCCCAGTCCGGCTTCATTCGCAGCATTTTCTCTTTCCCTCTGTTGGTGTCACTCCCTGATTTTTCTCCCACTTCTCTCTAATTTGAAAATTTTACCGTAATGTCTCAGGTAAATTCCTCTTGCACTTTTCAATTGCTTAATTATTCGTCAAAATTTTTCATATCCTAAATTTTTTTGATAAAATGTTCTCGACTTTTCATAATTACTAATGGTTGTATATTAGGGTTTTATAAGGATTTTATTTACTTATTGTTTTTGGCGTGACGATTTGGATCTATGTGGACAAGACAGGGTATAGAAAAAGGATAAGAGGAAAAATATCAATATGGAGAAGAATATTGGCCTAAGAGAAACTATACAGGTGGCTAGCAAAATGAACATATACAGAACCAACGCTGATAAAATGAAAACTGTATAACAATAGATCCTTCTATACTTCATCTTCACGTGTCCTGTGGTCCAGCTTGTCATCTACATTTATGCCTTGCTGACTAAGCTGCAGCTGACTTCCATTTTCTAATAGCCCCCCTCAAGGTGGAGAGTAGATATCTTCTACTCCAACCTTGAGCAAGTGAGTGTAGAAAATTGGAGAACTTAAAGCCTTAGTTAAGAGGTCTGCGACTCGTAATCCACTACTAACATAAGCAGTGGTTATGCTTCCATATTGAATCTTGTCACGGATGAGATGACAATAAGCTCAATGTGCTTGGATCTCTCATGAAAATTAGGATTTGATGCATTATGAAGTGCGGCCTTGTTATCACAAAACATAGTGGTTGCTTGAGGATGTGTAATCTGCAAATCATGAAGTAGATATCTCATCCAAGTTAATTTACAACACAGATTAGTCATTGCCCGGATTCTGCCTATGCAGATGATCTGGACACGACCCCTTGTTTCTTTAACTTTCAGGACACCAGAAAAGATCCAATAAACACACAATAACTACTAACCAACCTTCTTTTGTCCTAGCATGCTCCCCAATCCAAATCACAATAAGCTGTAAGCTGCAGGTTTGATTGAGCAAAATAAAGCAAACCCTGCCCCAGGGCCTTTTTATATACCTTAAAACTTTGGAGGCTGCATTAAGGTGTGGTAATCTAGGGTTGTCCATGAATTGGCTCAATAATTGTACAGAATAGGACAGATCAGGTCTTTTTATATTCAAGTATAGTAATCTTCTAACTAGCCTTCTATAGAGTGATGGATTAGGATGAAGTTCTCCTTGCTCTTTAGAAAGCTTGAGTTCTAATCAAGTGGAATTTGAGTTGGTGTTGCCCTAATTTGACCCGAATGTGTCAAAATGTCGAGGGCATACTTTCTTTGACATATGTGGACGCCTCAGTCTGATATTGACACTTCAATCCCAAGGAAGTACTTCGGCTGTCCCAAATCTTTGATTTTGAATTTCACGTGGTGGGAGGCCTTGAGAATATTAACAGAATCGATGCAAATGCTAGCTACTATAATGTCGTCGACATATACTAGGATGGCAGTAAAAGAATACTCTGTAGTTCTTGTAAATAAGTTTTAATCAACCTTAAGTTGTGAAAACCCTTGCTCTATAATGAATTTAGACAGCTTAGAATACCACTGTCTAGAAGCTTTTTTAAGGCCATTCAAGCTTTTCTTTAATTTGCACACTTTTGTCCCATTAGCATTAGGATAACCAGGAGGCAACTGCATATATATAAACTTCTTCCTCCAAATCTCAACGTAAAAATGCATTGTTTACATCAAACTGGTATAGGTGCCACCCTTTGATTGCTGCCACAGCCAACAATATCCTCACGGTAACTAATTTTGCAACGGGAGAGAAGGTTTCATGATAATTGAGCTCTTGTTGTGTGTATCCCTTAGCCACCACCTGGTTTTATATCTCTCTATTGTCCCATCGGTATTAAATTTAACCTTATAGACCCATTTACATCCTATGGCTTCCTTACCAAGAGGCATATAAATAACAAGCCAAGTATCATTTTAAGTCAAGAGCATCTATTTCAGCTTTCATGGACTACACCACTCAGGAGATTCTAATGCTTCTTGGAAAGTTTTAGGTTCTCTGTATGTGCTGATAGAAATAACAAAAGCTTTGTGGGGAGTGGAGAGTTTATGATATGACAAAGTGGCCTTAAGAGGATAGGGATTACCTGAAGGGAAGGTGACCCTTTGCTTGTCCAAGTCCTATGAATGGGGAAGCAAAGCTGCCTATTGGCAGACAAAGTGCTGAAGATGTGCAGGCGTCTTCTTGATTTTGTTTGACCTTCAAAGTAAAATTTGGTTTTATGATGGCTGAATATTGAGTCTAGATGTATTTGGAGGTTCAGATGGCTCATGGTTTTGTTCTAATGAAGAAATTTCAAATTGTTGGGGTGGAGATATTAGAGATTCTGTTGAATGGTCTCTTGCTGTATTTTAGTTAAAAGTATCTGAAGTGTTGATAAGAGAAGATCCTAGGTTGTTTATTTTGTTAACTAAGATAGTAGGAATTTCAGAAATGAAATTTGTATTTGAAGTTGGATTTGGAATACTATCAGCACTAATGGTAGTATTTTGCTCGTAAGGAAAACATTCTCGTGGAAAATAACATTCTTAGAGACGACAACCTTTTTGTTTCCAAATGTATTAATTTGTAACCTTTGATTCCAAACGGGTATCCAAGGAATATGCATTTTCTAGCTCTAGGGTCAAACTTATGTCTTCCATCTTCTAGGGTAGTAGCAATTGCTAGGCACCCAAAAACTTCAAGATGAGTATAATTTGGTTTGTAGTGAAAAAGAATTTCGGGGAGTTTTGTGGTCTAAAAGAGGTGTTGGAGTTCTCTTTATAAGATAAATATCCGTAAGAACACAATCACCCCAATATTTGAATGGGATGTTATTTTGAAATCTTAAAGCTATTAAAATGTGTTAATGTTTTCTTTCAACTATGGCATTTTGTTGAGGGACCTCCACATAAGTTTTATGGTGAATGATTCCCTTCTGTAAGTAAAATTGTTTCGTCTGAAATTCATCTCCAATATCCGATTGAATAGTTTTAATTTTGCATTCAAATTAGGTTTCTATTATAGAGCAGAAACTTTGCAAAGTAACGCTAGCATCAGATTTCAGTTTCATCATATATACCTAAGCGCATATGCTAAAATCATCCGCAATAGTTAGGAAATAACGAAAACCATTGTAACTAATCTCATTACATGTTCCCCAAAGGTCACAATATATGAGATCAAAACATTTTTCTGATTTATGTTGGCTTATAAGAAATGGTAATTTCTGTAGTTTGGCTAAAGGACAAACAGGTCAAGGCTGTTTGGTGGATTTTCTAGCGTTTTCTGATAAACTAAATTTGGATTAGGTAGAGTGTCCTAACCTATAATGCCAAAGGTCAAAGTCTTCAAAATTATTGAAAATAGTAGAAGCAAATATGGGTGCTCTCTAGGTCAGATTGACTAATTCTCGGTTAAGGCAAGATGAGATACTCCCTTTTCCATCAGGTGATAGAGTCTTTGCTTTACTTCATCCATTCCAGTCGTTTTCCAAGTGAAAATAATCTGTATAAAACAACAATCAGAGAGAAAAATAAGACAACAGTTCACAGTGCCATGAGCTGAGCATATTGCTCCTGAGTTAAAGGCATTTTAGCTTTGTCACTTACCTGCCCATGGGCAGGAGGCATAAGCTCAGTAGTCTAGTTAGCAGAGGATGCTGATGGCTTGTTTCTCCTATCTGATTTGTGGCTTGATGGATAACCATGTAGCTTGAAACAATTTCCAGCTATATGGCCAGGAATTTGGCAGTAAGAACATGCTAGTTTGTTCGGATTAGCCTTGAAGCATCACTCAAGGGAATGCCCAGCTATTTTTCAAAAGGTACAGTAGTACCTATCCTTCTTCTGAGATGATTGGTTCTGTTTCCTCACATCAAAGTTACCCTTAGCAAGAAGTGCCATAGTTTCACCAAGTGAGCTATCAGTGAGATTTGCCTCCTTTTCTCTTCTTGCTGGATGATGGAATATACTTCGTTCAAGCTTGGGAAATGCTTGATGAGGAGGATTTGAGCTTTTAGTCCCTTATATATGGCTTTGAGACCCATTAGGAATTTCATAACGTAATCTCCCTGCTGGTTGTTCACCACAACTTTCAAACCTGCACAAAAACAGTTAGGTACCGATTCATATTTTGGTAAATCATCCAAAAGGGTTTTCAACTTTGAGAAATACACACTTAATCCTGGGTGCCCTTTGCATCAAACGTGCCCAAGAATGATAGTTATTTGGAATCCAATACATGAGTAATAAGTATGGATCCAGATATATCATTAACTCCAATACGGTATGGACTGTTTGTCTGTGAGGGATCAATTGGGGTTGGATTTGGGTGTTGATTTGTATTTGTGTTTGAAGATTCAATTGGATTTGGATTGGTAGAGTCAGATTGCGACATAGTAGCACTGATACCATATAAGAAAAAGGATAAAAGGAAAAATATCAAGCAGTTAGAACTCAAGAACTTTGGGGAGAATTCTCTGTTTGTATTGATTTTCTGGTTTTTTTCTTTTGTACAATATGATTACTATATATAAAGAATGGAGAAGAATATTGGCGTAACAGAAACTATACAGGCGGCTAGCAAAATGAATATACACAAAACCAACTCTGATAAAATGAAAACTGTAGAACGATAGATCCTTCTAGACTTCATCTTCATGTGTCTTGTGGTCCAGCTTGTCATAGGGCTTTCGATTTTATGTAATTCATTTGATTTTTCATGGATAAGTTTGATATATCAGTATAATTGTCGTTTTATCTCTTACAGATTGATACCAGAAATTCTTCTTCTACTAAACGTGCCCGAACTGATGGTATGCTTCTAGTTTCCTTTGTTTATATAATTTTTTTGTGTTGTGTGGACAGTTTTGTGTATGATGTATATGTAAACACTGAAAAAATTTGAATTTTAAATGACAAAAGTGTGTATATCACATGCGAATTTATCATTTATGAGTATTATGCACATAAAACAACTCATCACCATGCACGGGAAATGGATCAACATGAATGATGCATATAAGTTTTGTTTTTGTAAGCATTTAGTGAAGAGAGTTCTATAATGCCTGACTAGTGTACCTTGGCCATTGTCGATATTATTTCCGTTATTGAAATATCCCAGAATGCTGTTTACATTTTCGTTAATCATCTTACCGAACTACTCTTGTCAAACAATTCCACTTCCTACTTTTTACAATTTAGAATTAAAATGCCATGTCTCATGTCTCTTGCGATTAAATTGGAAAAGTAGGTACGAAAAATAAATTCAATTTTGAGGTAAATAGTTTTGTCAAGGACAAACACGTGATCCAATTTGGATTGGAATAATATAACTCAGCGTGATTCTTTTGCAATTTCCTATGTTGCTGTTTTTTCTCCTATTTGCCTATGGCCTCGATTCCATGTTTATTCTTTCTAGTCTTATCATTTAGGGGTACTTTTTGTGGCCAAGCATTTTAAGGATGAGCAATTTTATGTTCACGGAACTGTCCAAAGTAAATGTATGTTATTTTTTTGGTTCTATTTAGTAATAAGATGGATGTCCACGAATTTATATTGTGGTATGGATTTAAAATAGCCAAACAGAGCTCTAAGAGGTATGTCAAGACATCCTGCTGTATTGCATTTTTGTATAGATAGACAATTTCATTTATCATTTGTAATTAATTCATTATACAATACTTCAATAAAAGCTTTCTAAGATATTTCTTCCTCTCTCCTCGATTTCCTTTTATGTTCCTCTTCGCAAACTCCAGACTAGATTTTTCAATCTTTTATTTGTACCAGAGCTATACGATCTGAATCCATGGCTTCTTTCAAAAGAAATACTCCAATCTCCAATGATGGAATTTCTCCAGAAATTTCATACACTATTCCAATTTATGCCTCAGTGCCAACTGTCAATCAAATTACTCAAAACTCTTCTCCGCCAACACTTATCCCAATTCAGATGAAATTAACTCAATCGAATTACAATTTCTGGCGATTGCAAGTTCTGTCTATGCTTCGAGCTCACGATCTCCAAGGCTTCATATATGGAGATTGCTTAAATGTCCTCACTACGTCGAATTTGGAACTCTTGGCATAGGAGTCGCAATAGAGGTTGATGGTGAAGATTTAGCGTGGTTTAGAACGGATCAAGTGATTATGAGTTGGATCCTTGATTCTATTTAAGAGGCTATGTTTGGTCATGTAGTGCAATGCACTTCATCTGCTCAGGTGTGGTAGACTTTAGAGCAATTGTTTCTCTCACAATCAGACGCACAAATTCTTCACGTTTGTAGTCGTCTTCAGAACACAAAGAAGGGAACTTTGTCGATTGAGGACTATTTTTTACGTATGAGAGAAATAGCAGACACATTTTCTGACGTAGGTCACCTAATCATTGATGAGGACCTTTTGTCATTCATTTTGAGAGGTTTGGACGTGGAGTTTGAAGTCGTAGCATTTAACCTTACCTCCCGGGGTGAAAAAGTTCGTCTATGGGAAGCTAAATTTCTGCTTCAAGCTCATGAGACGAGGTTGGCTCAGCTTTCCACCGTATCCATGATTGATTTTTCTGGCTCTTCACCTCAATTTGCTACGAGTAAGCACAGTAATCGTGGAAATGGTTTTCATCAGACTAGAAATTAAAATAATGGTGCAACTCATGTGGGTTTCAATCTGCAAATGACAACTAAGGGATCACAAGGAAGGTTTGAAAAAGACTTAGGAAAAGCGAATTGTGAGAATGTTGCATGCCAGTTTTGTGGGAAAAAAAGGACACTCGGTCCCTGAGTGCTCATGGAGGTATGATCTCTCCTATTTTTGTGAAGAATCTTGGCACTCTTGTGCTCAAAATCAGCACTTACATGCATTTGTGGCCACTTCAAGCACATCAAAGGATGATGCACAGAACGATGATAGTGGAGCTTCTGACCACATTAATGCAGATTTATTAGACATGCATGTGAACTCTGAGTATCAAGGTAAAGGTACACTCAGTGTTGGGGATGGTAATTCTCTCGTTATTTCTCGTATTAGTTCATCAGTTTTCTCATATCATGTTAAAATCATCCCATTTGTCTTACGTAACCTTCATTGTTTCCCAAGCATTGCCAAAATCGTTATCAGCTTATCCAATTTTTTGCTTGACTATAATCTAATTGGAAAATTAGGACTCGATTCCCAACATCTCAGGTGGCATTTGGGTCCCTAACCTTCAAAAGTGAGGTTTAGGTCCCATCACATTAAGTGGTTTGACGAAGTCGAGTACGATTTTCATGTCCATGTTGACAGTATTTGTCACGAGGGAACCCAAATTCACAAATTTAAATGATTGGGGAGCCCTGTCCTGATTTTCCTTAATCTAATGGATGGACTTTTTTGCTAATTGTTCTGTTTCTAAGGATGAAACATCGAACAATGATTTTCTTCAAGACAAACTTAAGAATGTACTGTGTCATATTGCTGTGTCAGATGCACATTCTCTAAACCATCCTTGTTATCTCACTTTCCAAAAACATATGAATTCTTGTTTCTACATACTTCTGTAACTATCGTGATAAGGCTGATGTCAATATTTGGCATCGACTATGACATCCCAATTCATCTGCACTTAAACATGTGTTTGGATCATTACTATATTCGGACATTATGATGAATAATGTGGATTTCTATAATCCATGCCAACAGAGTAAACAAACTTAATCTACTTTTCACTTTTGAATGAGCAAAATATTTCATGATGTAATTCAGCCCCTGAGGCATATAAATTCTATGTTCACTTTGTCTATGAATGCACTCAATTTAAATGGACTTCTCCTTTGAGGCTTAAATCTGGGTTGCATTCCATCTTTGCCAAATTCAAATTCTTATTGAGAGAGAATTTAATAGGAAGGTTGAATATTACAAACATATTGGGGTGATGAGAAGTCTTCCTAGTAAATATGCTCCCAACTCCTGTCCTTTAAAAACTAAACACCTTTTGGGTGTCTTTAAAATAGAACCTCATGACAGTCTCCTAAAGAACTTTTGGGTGTTATATTTTCCATTCCTCGTGCCTTACAACGAGCACAAATTTGGCTTTCAGAAGTCACCCATCACAGAGAATTTAAGTTGCCAAAAGTGTAACACTTGATCATTATTCTTTTCCCTTCGCTTGATTTTTTATTCTCCTTTACATGAGCTTAAAATTGATCCCCATTGCTGATTTTTATATAAACTCTAGTTCTCAGTCTGTCTGTCTATCTAATTTGGGCTCAGCTAATGGTACAGGAAGTGTGAGGGAATGTGTTGAAGCATCTAAAATTGTTGCTCTTAATGATAATAGAAACTCATCCAATGAGTCACCCCTGCCTTTGCAAACTTGTAGTAGTATCTTTTTGCCATGGCAAGCCACAGTAATAGTCCTAAATCAGTAATACAAGCATGAGCTACATTATCCATGCAATCCAATGCTTCAACACCAAACATTTCTCCTCCATTCACCGAAAACCAAAATAGACTGGAAAAGAAGTAGCTGATTCCATTGACCCGTTGCAATTCAAAACAGACTTAACATGTGGTTGATATGTTAAATTAGAAATTTGTTAAAAAGTCCTTGAACCTTTGAAATATTCTCTTGGTTTTGAGACAAGGAGAGACAAGAATAGTTTGTACCTCACGTAAACAAGCATATTAAAGATATGTTGGTTAAAACAAAACATAAGTTCGTTGTTATGTTTGTATTTTTAATTTTGTATTATGTTTTATTTAGATTTTAAGATAGTCAAAGATATTGTAGTTTATTATAGTTATTATACGTGATAGTGGGATATGAAGTCAGTTACGTTCCTTTGTTGTAGGAGATAATGTGAAATAAACTTGTATTTAGACTTCAAAGAAGAAATATATATTACATCAATGGATCATTTTCTACAAACGTATTTTTTGTGTTGGTAGGTTAACTGGTTCCTCTACTTCCTCCTTTCTTTTTTTATTTTGTTTATTTTCGATTCAAACAATCCCTGTTTTTAATAATTTGTATCAGAGCTTGGCATGGATCAATCGCTTCAGCAACACATCGAATTATTGGGAAAAAATTGTGAAACTTATCCTTGATTGTCAAATGAAATCCGGTGCAAGACGAGCGAGTTCTCTAAGATGTTAGATGCTTTATCAAGCGAATATTGTCTACTCCAGAATTGAAATTTGGCATTGATCATTCTTATGGCGATTGTGCTTGTTAAATGACTGCAACCTAAAGAAAATAGAAAGTAGTATCAACTTTGTTGATGATGTAAAACATTGTGAAATTCACAACAATCTGGTGGAGGATGCACTGTCATAGCTTTTGTAGGAGGGAAAATTCAAGGAGCTTAGGAGAAAAGCTATGGGTCGGCATGCAAAATTGTTTTATTAGGAGAATATGTGGTTGAAAATGAACTTCGGTAAAAATGAGTTTTTGAAAATGAGGGCCAAACAAAGGTTTATTCCTCTCTCCTTGGTTTCGTATTGTGTTCCTCTCTGTAAACCCTGGACTAGATATTTCAATCTCTAATTGTAACAACACATATAGAATGCTGATTTCTTAAATAGGATGATATTATGGGACAACTCCAACTTGAATAATTTTTTATTTTTTGTTTTGTCATTCTGTATGTTCTATTATTAGCCCTTTCTTGTTGTTAACTGAGCTTGTGTTTGTAGGTGGCCGTAGGGAAGATGATTGGACCTGTCCTAGCTGTGGCAATGTCAATTTCTCATTTAGGACAACCTGCAATATGCGCAACTGTACTCAGCCTAGGCCTGCTGATCACAATTCTGTATGAATTTCATTTTATAAAATTGGAATTAGTTAGAGCTTAGAATTTGCCTATTTCAAGCCAATATTTTGTGGTACCATTGTAGCAGATTAAGTACTGTATGTATGCATTAAAAATGCTATCTATATGGTAACTGTTTCTTGTTTTTGAGTTATTGATGTCATCTCTACCTCCCTCTTCCTTCTCCAAAAGAAACTGCTAGCTTCGACATGTTGGGGACGCATTTCTGGTCATTTAAAAATCTCAACCATATTCTCTAAATAGGGCTTGTGTATTATTAATAGCTTATTACCATGCAATGTTTATATGGTCTTCTCATCAGAAATGAAATTCTGCTATGTTACTATGACATATAAAATGAATAACCACTTAGTTATTAGCTTTCCCTTTTCCGATTAATTTCTTTCTTCAAGTTCTAGATTATGAATTTATTTTTTATCAGCTTTTCAACAAATCACTTCTCTCTTTCAGAAATCTGCTGCCAAGACTGTGCAAGCACCTCAAAGTTTTTTGTCCTCAGCTCCCTATGTAGGCTCTGGTGCACTATCCTCAATGTATATGGGTATGTCACCTTATGGTTCGTCTCTATTCAACGGGATCCCATTCACTGGGGGCTCTGCATATCATTATAACTATGGAAGCCGTTTTGCTGGAGGCAGCCCATATCGACCCTTGCATTTATCTGGTCCAGCTCCTTACTCTAGTGGGCCCATGATGGCAAACGGTATGGTCGTTCGCTTATATGTCATTAAATCCTATTTCACTCTGCTGAGATAAGTTATAAAAACAGCTCTAGAGAAATGTTTTTCATTGACATTGTTTATGCACAGTGGTTTCATTGACGTGTTTATACCCACTACATGTTTTATATTGAGTACTCTTATTTGTTAAACGGAAATGGTAATATTTTCTTTTCCAGTATCTGTCATGTTTAAAATGATAGATATATATCCAGTCCTTGTCAAACTTCATTTTATTTTTATTCATAATGTTATGTGGTATTTCTCATAGGTGGAATGTATGGTGTGCCAGCAATGATGGACAGGTATGGCTTGGCTTTGCCTATGGGCCCCGCCATGGTAAGCAATATAAGGTTCTTTTTCCTTCCTTTAGAAACAAATTATAAAGGGTTTTTTATGATGAAATCTTGTTTGTTTGATACCTTATGCATTGCTAAAATTCTATGAATAACAAAGGTGTGTCACGGCATAATAATGGTAAAGCATAATAATGGTAAATGATAAGCTTTTAAAATTTATTTCTTCGTAAAATCTGTCATTATTGCTCATCTCGTGTCTTTAATTTCTTGAGAAATGAATTTGTTCTTCTATATGCTATAGTTTCTTTAGCTATTGAGCGATTTATACTTTCTACAGGGGCCAAGACCTGGTTTTTTCCCCGAGGATGAACCTCAAAAGAAAGGTGGAGGTATGCAATATCTCGTTTGTATTCTAAATTCTGATTTATGAACTGATATTTGTGCATTTATATTAATAAACACTTTTTTATACACATATATATACATGCACTTCTAGGTGGAATGCGTGATGATGATTGGAAGTGTCCCAAATGTGGTAACGTCAACTACTCGTTCAGAACAGTTTGTAACATGAGGAAATGCAATACACCTAAGCCTGAATCACAGGTTTGAGATACTAATCTCTGGTGTTATGCACCAGCACTATTATAAACTGTGACCCTAAAACTGTTGAAACTTCAATATGATTTTGCATCAGTGCTGCTCGCATGTCTTCTTTACTCATGATGCTGAACGTTTAATGTATTATTTGGATTTTTGCGGGCCTACTTTCTTTATAGCTCTTGGTTACAACAGATGTATATATTTCTATTTACCATCAATTGTTTTGCCTGTAATGCAGAGTGGAAGATCTGGAAAGATTGCAAGTGAGTCCTAAATAATAACTGTAACTTTCTTTGATATGCACATACTCTGTACTTATTACTGTCGTAATTTAGAACAAGACATGCCAGAGGGGAGCTGGAAGTGTGAGAAATGCAACAATATAAACTACCCTTTCAGGACTCAATGTAACCGACAGAATTGTGGAGCTGATAAACCTTCTGACCTTTTAAATTCTTCCCCAGGAGCATCAGAAAATGATCAGGTCTGTTGTTTTGGTGTGTGTACATTACTATTTTCTGTGATTCGAAGTTATAATAAAACTATTATTTTGCTCAATTATATTGGATTACTTCTGATTTATTGATTTTTCTCGTCTGCTGTTCCAGTGAGTACTAAGCATGTTTGAGAAGGTCCAGAATTTTCATCCAGCATTGCTCAGTGTGGGTGTCTGAAAGTCAGTCATGATATCTTCCTGTTGCAGCGGTTTGTCTAGTTACTCTCCCTTCTTACCTTCTGTGTCAAGTTTAAAATGCATTAGAGTTCTGGTCTTTGATTCAGCTGGAAATTATCGCTCTGCCCTTGAGTTTGTGTTCTAGATTCTCTATATTCATAGAGGATTATGTGCAGACCTGCACTTTAGGTCTATTTGATACTAATATTATTAGAAATTGTGGTGTTGAATTTGCGTGCTACCTCTTCATATTAGCGTTTACGAAGTGTGACCTATCATGATGACACAGCTTAAGGGTGTTGAAGTTTTGACATCGAGTTTTTTTGAGTTCTCCGGCAAAGTTTAACCTTGAGAGTGAGTAGTTTGGAATCATCTCCGGGACTGTGGGTCGAGGAGGATTTTCGTGATCTCATGTTCTGAAAATGATGTTATTTGAAAATCTTTTAAAGGATATTTTTTATAATCGGACAATGATGTTTATAATTTGAACAAAAAAAATTAAAAAAAAAAAAAATCGTTCCTCGATAATTTAATTAAAATATTGTTTTTGATAGATTTTATAGGATATGAAATAAACGTTATTTAAAGAAGACAATAATAAGATATTATATAATAATTTAATGTTTAAACTTTAGTCAAATTTAATAGTGAGTAGCTGTATGTACGCGGATAAAAAGTTCTCCCTTTGTTATGTTTTCGAATAATCAATTTAATGTTCGGTCAATGACATATATTAACAATTCACTTCAAAAAATCGACTGAAATTTTTTTCTCATGTCAGTTATGTCAAATGGATTCTTACTCGAGAAAATTATGCATTTTTAAGAGCACTAGAGCCGTCCAACTAGATTGCTTTTCATCGCCCTGAACAGTGGTCACAAAACTTTTCTAGATCGCTAAATTTCGTTTTGCTTAAAATTGATCATTTTAAACTAATTTCAAGTTTATCATGCTAAATTAATGGGTTGATTTTACAAACGATCACTGAACTTACCTGAAAATTACAAAATGATTACTAAAGTTTAAAACTTGCATAAACGGTCACTGAAGTTTAGAGCGCTTTCAGAAACGGTCACTAAAGTTTATAAACTTGCAGAAATGGTCACTTAGATTTTTCAAATTATTGAGCGAGATTTGTGGCAATTTTTCAGCAACTTCCGACCACCAAGACTGCCAAATTTGGATACCGTTGAAAAGTACACAATGTCATCTTCAATTACCGTCCAAAATGATTCAGCCGGAATAAATCAACATGCAAGCACTCCTCAGTGTCATGCTCATGATCTTTGTAAAAGTGATAGTATTTGCCTTGGTTTCTCCATACGAGCTCTTTCATGTTCGTATTTTCATCAATAGCTTCGCGCGCAGGGTATTTAAAGGGGTTAACGTCCTAGTTTCCTCCCGCCTTTGCCTAACTGGTCGATCCTGGGTGGCCCTCTTGCTTACGCACTCATTCCTCGACTTATTCATCTCCTGCCTTCCGCTTGTGACTCTCTATATCCCATTCTTCTCTAAGGGTTTTTGTGACCTTCGCTTCCTCAGCATCAACATATATATCTCCCTTCTTCAACAGGTCATGCATTAACTCCGGGGGATCCTTGGAAAGTGACATCTTAAAGGCTCGATTCCGCGTTTCGTTCATCGGTGCGATCACCATTGCTGACATTTGAAGGTCCTCTATTCAAAGGGTCGCTCAGCTGAACCTGGCCAAGTATTCTTGCAAAGACTTGCCTTTCTGTTGGACAACCTTCATCAATCCAATAGCTGTCTTCCTCTTCCTCTTACTACTGAGGAAGTAGGCCACAAAGCTCCTGATGAGCTCATCAAACGTTCGGATAAATCGGGAGGTTAATGTTGCTATCCAATCTCTAGCTTCCCTCCTAAAGGTCGGGGGAAGGACTGACACATCATTGTATCGGGTGCTGCATAGAGCCTTATTAAATCAATGAAAGTCAAGAGGTGATCAAGTGGATCTGTGACCCTGTCGTAAGCTTCTATCATAGGCTGCTTAAAGCCCTTGGGTAAAAGGACTGCCATGATTTCAAGTGCAAATAGGTTCTCTTCTAAAACCATCTGCTTGTGTTTGTCCTTTCTCCTGGATAATGCATCATCTATCTTCTGCATCATGATCTTTTCCATCTTTCGTTCCAGATCCATCATAGGTGGTAAACGCTGCAGGACCGTCATCCATGGAGCCCTCGAGCATGCGGTTACCAGTTGGATGACAAGAGGGGCTTCTACATGCCCTCCTTGGGGTGGCGGTGCAACCTCTGCCGAATGCGTAAGCGAGAGCGTTAAACTGGCTTTGTGTTACATACTGCGGTGGTGGCGGGGGCCTTTACAACTGACTCAGACTTTTTCTCCGCTCAATTGCCCTCAAGCGCGTATCACTTATTGTTCGTCTTCTTGACATAGCTTGTGTTCCGTGAAAGAGTTCCTACAGACGGTGCCATTGAAGTAGTCGTGGAACAATACCTCCGTGTCCACCTGTTGGCACAATGCGTTCCTGCTACTCCGATGAACTGATGTTACCTGAAAAATGAAGATGGGAATCTCTCTCCCATTTTACCTCCAGTGTGAGAATTAGTATACGGTGTTAGGAAAAACAAAAATGAAATTTAGGTAGCCAAAATTTTTCTTCTAGATATATTTTTCGCCTCGGGTATATTTATGGACACCTGAAGCCAGGTGATTGTTGGGTGGTTATGGTACCACGTGTACCACATAGCCTTTTCGACCTCCCCCACATTCTAAGTGGGGGGCCTTCAACTTCCAAATGGTCGATTGTTCCCGTGATAGCCATTATGTAAGCCTTATCAATTCATCAATGTTTTTATGGCTAAGCGTTGGATTAACCACGTAGGCAATCTCATGCTGCTCGATGGTTTGGAGTTGACATAGAGGTAGAATGATCATGGGAGTTGATGGCCTAGCATGGAGGTAGAGCACTCATGGGATCAGGGGTGGACTCACATGGGGTCAAATGACCCCACAAAATTTTGGTTTTTTTTTTTTCCCTCCAGAAAATGGTTGTTTAAACCCATTTTCAACCCACTTATTAACGTACCAAATGAAATCGAAATATTGCATTCTTAATATCATTTATAAGCACTCATGGCCTAATTTTTTGCTTCTTAATGGTGTGCGAAATGATCAATCGTAGCAAAAGTTACGATGTATCAAAGTAGGCCGTTCCAAATTAGTATTTTAAAAATTTCGATAATATACTAACTTTTAAAATTTGCCGATGATCGTATGCTATCTAAATCTACAAATCGCTTGCATAATTTAGAAGTTCGTTACGAAAATTACATCGTAGTCATATCGAATGGTTCAAACAGATATCGAAAATAGTTAAATATGCGTCAAACGTACGTATTAAAAGAGGCGTTTAACTTGTCTTTTTTTTTTTATAAAAAAAATAAATTATTTCATTAACGTTTATTATTTTTCACGATAAATTTTCCAATATAATTTACATCATTTTATTAGAAAATTTTACATTAAATATGATGTCAAAAATTCTAAAATCGTTACGGATTAAATGTAATTTGAATTACTTACTCGTCGTTAGCTCAACATCCATAAATGACATGGTAAACAAAACTACACATGTAGCAAAATTCATTTAACAATATTCATAATGATAGAATTATAAGACACTTCCAAGATGTCAAAATGCGTATTAACTTATTTTTATAAATATTATATTGTTTTAAAAAATTACACATTAATTTTTGGAACTAAGTACAACCCGCGAGGATGACCTCACAAGTGACCGCGCCCTCACATGCTCGACGAGGTCCCCATGAATAAAATAATCTCGACCCCATGTGTGTATATTGTGTCAGTCCCGCGATCATTCATGTGAGCTCTGTAGCACGACTCTAATTTTTGGCCCCACAACCCAAAACGGCTGAGTTCGCCCCTGCATGGGATCGACGGTCCAGCACAAGGGTGTAACACCTCACTTTGCTCGTCATCATAGGTAGCTATTTATGCTATCCAATATCATTATCCATATCAATCAGTAATCTAGACACAAATTTCAATTCTTTTTCGGCATGTTCATTAGGACTACCCACTTCGACATTTGCAGGATAAAAGAAAGAAAAGACTTGCTCAACATCCAGGAACGTTTGGCTAAGTAAATTTACTTATTGACACAAAATTGCTTTAAAATAAATAATTTTTTATTTGTTAAAGTTAATGCGTTACATATTTTGACAATTGAGCAGGACTTCCAATTAAACGAAAGGGGCTGGCATTCCCTTCACGTCTGTCTTCATTACACTCGCAAGCCTTCACTCAAGATCTGATGCAGTGATGCTCAATTCTTCTATTAACAAGAAAAATCCAACACCTCTCGAAAGAAGAACAATATCAATGTTTTTTTCGACTATTTCAAGACGTGACTCTTGATTTTTCATACTGCTTTTTCACTTCTTTTTCAAAATATTTGATCATCCATAGCAAATCCCTTAATCTTCTTTTTACATGCTATGAAAAAGGTTTAATTTCAAAACCTTTCCTTCATATTTGGCCCTTTCCTTCGGATACTTAGAATAAGAATAATGGGGGTTTCTAGCACCCAATAGCTAGCAAGAGTAAATTTAAAGGTACAGCGGTCATGAATCCATAATAAGAATAAAATGATATATTCAAGTTTCTACAATGCATAGATTGCTTTAGCATTTCTACAGCAAGCAAATCATTGGTTATGGTAAGAAAACAATTATTTTCATATTTGGCCCTTTCCTTCGGATACTTAGAATAAGAATAATGGGGGTTTCTAGCACCCAATAGCTAGCAAGAGTAAATTTAAAGGTACAGCGGTCATGAATCCATAATAAGAATAAAATGATATATTCAAGTTTCTACAATGCATAGATTGCTTTAGCATTTCTACAGCAAGCAAATCATTGGTTATGGTAAGAAAACAATTACGCAATTAAGTCAGTTCAAGGTGTGTAACTAACATATTAACCAAACGGGCTTGGTCTGTAATCCGAGGCCAAAAACTTTACTTCTCGAAAACATTGCTGCTCCAATCAAAATTGTTGATATGGCCTGCACAAAACGATATGTTTCAAGGTGTGAGAATTAGTATACGGTGTTAGGAAAAACAAAAATGAAATTTAGGTAGCCAAAATTTTTCTTCTAGATATATTTTTCGCCTCGGGTATATTTATGGACACCTGAAGCCAGGTGATTGTTGGGTGGTTATGGTACCACGTGTACCACATAGCCTTTTCGACCTCCCCCACATTCTAAGTGGGGGGCCTTCAACTTCCAAATGGTCGATTGTTCCCGTGATAGCCATTATGTAAGCCTTATCAATTCATCAATGTTTTTATGGCTAAGCGTTGGATTAACCACGTAGGCAATCTCATGCTGCTCGATGGTTTGGAGTTGACATAGAGGTAGAATGATCATGGGAGTTGATGGCCTAGCATGGAGGTAGAGCACTCATGGGATCAGGGGTGGACTCACATGGGGTCAAATGACCTCACAAAATTTTGGTTTTTTTTTTCCTCCTCCAGAAAATGGTTGTTTAAACCCATTTTGGACCCACTTATTAACGTACCAAATGAAATCGAAATATTGCATTCTTAATATCATTTATAAGCACTCATGGCCTAATTTTTTGCTTCTTAATGGTGTGCGAAATGATCAATCGTAGCAAAAGTTACGATGTATCAAAGTAGGCCGTTCCAAATTAGTATTTTAAAAATTTCGATAATATACTAACTTTTAAAATTTGCCGATGATCGTATGCTATCTAAATCTACAAATCGCTTGCATAATTTAGAAGTTCGTTACGAAAATTACATCGTAGTCATATCGAATGGTTCAAACAGATATCGAAAATAGTTAAATATGCGTCAAACGTACGTATTAAAAGAGGCGTTTAACTTGTCTTTTTTTTTTTATAAAAAAAATAAATTATTTCATTAACGTTTATTATTTTTCACGATAAATTTTCCAATATAATTTACATCATTTTATTAGAAAATTTTACATTAAATATGATGTCAAAAATTCTAAAATCGTTACGGATTAAATGTAATTTGAATTACTTACTCGTCGTTAGCTCAACATCCATAAATGACATGGTAAACAAAACTACACATGTAGCAAAATTCATTTAACAATATTCATAATGATAGAATTATAAGACACTTCCAAGATGTCAAAATGCGTATTAACTTATTTTTATAAATATTATATTGTTTTAAAAAATTACACATTAATTTTTGGAACTAAGTACAACCCGCGAGGATGACCTCACAAGTGACCGCGCCCTCACATGCTCGACGAGGTCCCCATGAATAAAATAATCTCGACCCCATGCGTGTATATTGTGTCAGCCCCGCAGTCATTCATATGAGCACTGTAGCACGACTCTAATTTTTGGCCCCACAACCCAAAACGGCTGAGTTCGCCCCTGCATGGGATCGACGGTCCAGCACAAGGGTGTAACACCTCACTTTGCTCGTCATCATAGGTAGCTATTTATGCTATCCAATATCATTATCCATATCAATCAGTAATCTAGACACAAATTTCAATTCTTTTTCGGCATGTTCATTAGGACTACCCACTTCGACATTTGCAGGATAAAAGAAAGAAAAGACTTGCTCAACATCCAGGAACGTTTGGCTAAGTAAATTTACTTATTGACACAAAATTGCTTTAAAATAAATAATTTTTTATTTGTTAAAGTTAATGCGTTACATATTTTGACAATTGAGCAGGACTTCCAATTAAACGAAAGGGGCTGGCATTCCCTTCACGTCTGTCTTCATTACACTCGCAAGCCTTCACTCAAGATCTGATGCAGTGATGCTCAATTCTTCTATTAACAAGAAAAATCCAACACCTCTCGAAAGAAGAACAATATCAATGTTTTTTTCGACTATTTCAAGACGTGACTCTTGATTTTTCATACTGCTTTTTCACTTCTTTTTCAAAATATTTGATCATCCATAGCAAATCCCTTAATCTTCTTTTTACATGCTATGAAAAAGGTTTAATTTCAAAACCTTTTCTTCATATTTGGCCCTTTCCTTCGGATACTTAGAATAAGAATAATGGGGGTTTCTAGCACCCAATAGCTAGCAAGAGTAAATTTAAAGGTACAGCGGTCATGAATCCATAATAAGAATAAAATGATATATTCAAGTTTCTACAATGCATAGATTGCTTTAGCATTTCTACAGCAAGCAAATCATTGGTTATGGTAAGAAAACAATTAGGCAATTAAGTCAGTTCAAGGTGTGTAACTAACATATTAACCAAACCGGCTTGGTCTGTAATCCGAGGCCAAAAACTATACTTCTCGAAAACATTGCAGCTCCAATCAAAATTGTTGATATGGCCTGCACAAAACGATATGTTTCAAGTTGTTGCCAGCAAACGACAGCAGAATAAGTGTTGCCTTCAAAATAAATAAATAACTTATCCAAATATGCTCGTACAACCATAATACTTTCAGAAAGAGTTAAAATAGTGAGTAGGCAATGCACTGTTTGGAAGAACTTACTTTATCTTAATATCAAACGTTCTAATGCTCATAGACTGAATACACTATATCCGGACTGTCAGTTCAGCACATTTGAGTAAAAATCCGCTTCATATGGTGCTTTGAAAAGCTGGATTTCCTGAAAGGTACCATTCTGGGGCAAGGCATGAACACTGGGATGAGTCGGCTGCTGTGCAGTCTGCCAGAATTCTGCAGAAGTGAAGGGCAAGCCTTCTGGGATTGCATGCATTACAGGCTGAGGCACGCTGGTGCCGCTTTCGTTGATAGGGTTGTTTAGTATAATGGATTCTGGCTCACATGAACCCCAGGAATTACTTGACAGAAGAGAGAGAGCACAATGGTGCCCCGGTGCTGCATCTAAATGGGATGAGAAGATGGATCCCTTGGAACCTGGATTAGAAAACGTTAATATATTCACCCAAATTGATGCAAATCAAGTTCCACGTATTAACAAAAAGTTATATGCAAAATATTAGCTTAGAAGCTTGTCTACATTTTGCAGTATGGGACATGCTGTCTAATTCCTTCCTAGGTTGTGATTTCAAATTACCATAGCTGGTAACACCTTGGACTTCTGAAATAGCTTCACCAACGGTCAGTCAATACCTTAATAAATTTTATCTGGGTTGTACAATTTGAATTCTAGAATGCTCGTAAGAGTCTTGGCTTTATGCTATAACTTTGATATGGCTGCATTTAGGTACCACGTCCGTCAATAATCACAAAACACTCAATTGCCAGATTTTCTGCAGGTTGTCATCTTTTAGAAATTCTATAAGCAACAAATATTAATTACTTAGAAAATATGATCTCGCATCTCACTGATGCCATAATCATGCATTCATGCCATGTGTCAAAAAAACACATTTTTCAGTAAAAGACACATGGCATGAATGCATGATTCCACACCTGATAGTTTCAAAAATCATGCTGCGAACGTAGTAGATTAAAAAGATTGATCTTATGGGTGCGAATGGGGAAGATATCATAGGTTGAAGATAATCTGAGAGAGCTGCGAAGGTAGTAGATTAAAAAGATTGATCTTATGGGTGCGAATGGGGAAGATATAATAGGTTGAAGATAATCTGAGAGAGAGGTGAAGAAGAGCATGCTTGGATGCAGTTAAAAGGTGATTTTATTGGGTTAAAATACTTCAGATCGTTCTCCAAACCTACTACTCAATAAACTAGACACAACATCTCGCTTTACACTCAAACTGGTTAATTAATATCCCTTTCCATGAATACCAATTTTCCGACTAACACATTGGTCCTGCTGCTTGGTTAATTTTGTGTTCAGTTGAATGGTAAGCACACGAGTTATCCTCCCTCTGTTATGATATTACGAGGGTGTTTGGTAGGGATTAAAATTAGATTTTTTTTTATAGATTGTGATAGAAATTTTTGAAATGTGTGGTTGAAAAGTTTGTGGGACCCATGAAAAATGTGATTAATATTGATTGTTTGACTTAGATTAAAATCATATTTTAATCCTACCAAACGGGCTCTAAGTTCTTCCCTCTGGTGAAAATATATTATTTCATGGTCTAAGGAAGTATTTAACTTGGACAACCCTCTATTAAGAAAGACCTAGACAGAACCCTCAACTTCTCGGCCAAATACCAAACTAAGTAGTTCGGTTTAGCACAAACCTGACAATCTTTATAGGCGATTCACCAAAAGATGAAGTGTCACCTGTCATTTGGATTTCTGTCACCTATGTACGGTCAAAGAGTACACTAAGCACTATTAATCTCGACAACAAATTATGAACTTGAACTACCAGATTGTCTTTAGCTCCTGTTTGGCTCCCATTAAATTACATTCTATTTTTCTCTGTCCTATTTTCAACCACACAATCTTCCATGAAATAATATTATACGTAAATCGAAAATTTTTCCTTCTTTTTCAACCACTCGTTTTTTCAACAAAATACAATTCCTCCCATTTTCATTATCAAAAATGGGGGTCAAACGGGGACTTAATCTATCACATTTTCCAGGACTTCGGGGCTCTGTTCTCATTCTCCAATAAAAAAAATTCACATATGCGTTCTCAAGCTTAGCGAAACTTGCTATTAGTGTGATGGCTTCATCTTTGGCCTCCCCTACAGTTAATCATCTTAATCTATGTTTCTCTCTGTGCTTTACTTAACATGCAATGTTCCTAGTACTAGATATCAGTGGTTGGTATCTTTTATTGCTGTGAAAATTTTACTACATCCATCAAGTGTCACCTCGAGTTCTGGCCTAAATGTTCAATCTGCGTGATAGACTCAGAAATTACTTCACAAAAATTCTTATTGGGAAAGAAAACCTATGATATCCTCTAGACTACGAGTAATTGGCGCAATACCCCTCAAATCAGCAACCGTGTGCAAAACAACCTGCCATCTATTTTCTCCACTAAATCCTTGTAAAATAACGAATTTATCCTCCTTTTAAAAAAACAAATAGAAAAGAAAAAAATAAAGAAATAATTGCACTCAAAGTTCCAAGATTTTCAAAAAATACAAACAAGACCCAATTAAAACAATTTTAAAAAATTGAAAAACCTCATTCTTCCCAAACTGACCCTACCTACCCCAACCCACCACCATCGACAAAGCTTTATCTTTCAATCAAATTCTCCATAAATTATTTAGGGTGCATTTGGTTTGCATTTCTGTTTCCTGTTTTTAATTTTGAATTCATTGTCTGTTCTCTGTTTTGAGAGGTTATCTTAAGATTGTAATAAACGCATTTGGTTGTCATTCCGGAAAATTTTCTCAAAACAAAAAATTAGAAAACCTATGTGGTTTAAAAATTTTAGAAATAGTCTTACGACATTTTTTTCAATTAATTTGATTACTTAGGCCCGTTTGATTCTTATTTTTCTAAAAATGAGAATAAAAAATATAACCGTTACAGGATCCATACAAGATATAGAAAGTCAGATATTGTGATTTGATGTGATGGATAATGGTCATATTTTTCATTTTTGTGGCAAAAAAAAGAGAATCAAACGGGGTCTTAATAAAACATATCAATTTTATGCTAATATGTGATCAAAAAATATAAATTTTAAAGTAGGTAAAAAAAATAAAGGAATCATTATAAGATTGAGAGATAGAACCAAAGAGATGGATTCTCCACAAGGGTTCTTGGAGGAGAGATTGGTATTTGTATTAGGGAAAATTGTGTGATTTTATTAATTATTTTAATTTGAGAAATTTTTAAATCCATTTTCCTTGTTTTGAGTTTTTTGAGTGTTTTCATTAAAAACACTCAACATGTCAAAAAGTCATTTTGAGTTTTATGTTGTAAAAATTTTCCTTCTTTTCAAAAACGAATTTTTGAAAATAATATACTAAACGCGTTTTGAGTTTTTCAGAAAATTGAAAACTGAAAATGACCTCAAAGCTGCAAACCAAATGCATTCTTACATTTCCAAAAATTCAGCCTTGCAAGATCCTTTGAAATAGTCCAAAAAAATTTTATGCTAATATGTGATCAAAAAATATAAATTTTAAAGTAGGTAAAAAAAATAAAGGAATCATTATAAGATTGAGAGATAGCACCAAAGAGATGGATTCTCCACAAGGGTTCTTGGAGGAGAGAGATTGGTATTTGTATTAGGGAAAATTTTGTGTGATTTTATTAATTATTTTAATTTGAGAAATTTTTAAATCCATTTTCCTTGTTTTGAGTTTTTTGAGTGTTTTCATTAAAAACACTCAACATGTCAAAAAGTCATTTTGAGTTTTATGTTGTAAAAATTTTCCTTCTTTTCAAAAACGAATTTTTGAAAATAATATACTAAACGCGTTTTGAGTTTTTCAGAAAATTGAAAACTGAAAATGACCTCAAAGCGGCAAACCAAATGCATTCTTACATTTCCAAAAATTCAGCCTTGCAAGATCCTTTGAAATAGTCCACAAATGATTAATCAAAAGCTCTATGCCTAAGAAACTTAAAATTAAAATTTCAAAAGAGATTAAAGATATCGATTGAATTAATCTAGAGCATGATGGGCCTCTACGTTCCCCATTTCTATTTGTCCACCATTAATTTGTTGATTCTTCTCTTCAATATCCTCCTCTGATGTCAAAGTGGTGTCACTACTAGTGCTGCTAATACTTTCGCTACCATATGATGATGCTTTGCTTGACATAGAAATGGCCAAGAAAGTTGGCTACTCTTTACCAACAATGATCATAAGATGATTCTCTTCAAGCATCGACAGTAATTTAATTGGAGGCAGCCTCAAAACCTTCTCTATATTACCCTCACTACATTTGACGCTCAAACAAGGGCTCGGGTTAAGCACAAGGAAGAGCAGGAAAACGAGCGACGTAGGCAGCAGGCAAAACAAGGTCAAATCCCTGAAGATCAGGACCACCCACGGGCTCCAGCACCACAAGCTGAAATGGATAATTAGCTGCTGAGATAGATTTTTTCCACCACCACGGGCATTAGCCGGGACCTTCACAGTTTCTTTCAAGATTTTGGCAACATGAGGACTGAATTAGGAAGCTTACAAAGAGACAATCACCTTGCGTTGAACTACATCAGAGATGCTAGGGATCATGCTACAGTCATGCGACGGGAGGTTGACACCACAAATGGCCAATTAAACATGTATGTTGGTCGGGTGGACGGTATCCAGATGAGGGTCAATGAAACTTGGGAGACCATGAGAGCTATCCAAGCCGAGCAGATACAGCAATCTACCTTGATGCGGGAAATGAATGAGATGATGCGGCAGCTCCTTGGCTGACACCCCCCTCCGTCGGATGATGGTACAGCAGGACCCAGTTTCCCACCACCTCGTCCATTTTGATTCAAGGGAAGTACTATTTATCACATTTTGGATTTTCATTTTTATGTAGTCCGTAAAATTCTGTCTTTCATCTTTTGTTAATTTTACATTGAGGACAATGTAGTAACAAAGTTTGGGAAGGTGACATAATTTTAACTAAGTATCTGTATTATCTGTGTTCATCGGTATGTGTGCATGAGGGATCATGCTACAGTCATGCGACGGGAGGTTGACACCACAAATGGCCAATTAAACATGTATGTTGGTCGGGTGGACGGTATCCCGATGAGGGTCAATGAAACTTGGGAGACCATGAGAGCTATCCAAGCCGAGCAGATACAGCAATCTACCTTGATGCGGGAAATGAATGAGATGATGCGGCAGCTCCTTGGCTGACACCCACCTCCGTCGGATGATGGTACAGCAGGACCCAGTTTCCCACCACCTCGTCCATTTTGATTCAAGGGAAGTACTATTTATCACATTTTGGATTTTCATTTTTATGTAGTCCGTAAAATTCTGTCTTTCATCTTTTGTTAATTTTACATTGAGGACAATGTAGTAACAAAGTTTGGGGAGGTGACATAATTT